GATCTGCAGCGGCTTCAGGTTGAACATCTGCAGGGACGCGCTCCGTGTTGGCGCAGAGCCGCCCGGCGGAGGCGGGACGCACCCCCACCCACGGTTTGGGCTCAGAGCACTGGAGTCGGGGGACACGGTGAAGACTCATGCGGCCCCCCTGTGGGTCACAGAATCTCAGTCCGGGACACACAGGACTGGCGCTCACGGTTTTCTCGGCCAGACTTCCTCAAACTCTAGAATTCGTTAGCAGAACAAACACCGATCCTACATCAATCGCCTTCAAATGACCCTTAGCTAGTCGTCACCATTCGCAGTTACAGCGGACGTCTTCTCTTAGTATTTAATGGTCAAAGTTCCTTAAAGACGTGTCATTTAAACAATTTTTTAAAAGACTTCATTTTTCTAAATATTTTAGAATGACGCTTTAAGTTGCGTATTCACAGAACGCCTGTCATGTTTAAGGACACCGTGGGCCCAGGGGAAGGTACGGCCCCCTCCACTCGGGGTCTCCAGAATCAGCCACACGACATGGGAGGCGCTCAGGGAATTCTGGGTGCCCGCAGGGTGCCCACTGGGTGCCCACCCGGCCGTGGAGCCCACAGATGAGCAGAACGGGATGCCCTAAGTATGAGCCAAGTCCTGGGGGAGAACTGAGGGACCGGACGGCCATGGCGCCGCCCACAAGGAGGGTGACACGTGGGGGTCAGCCTCCCCTGAAAGAGGTCTGCAGACCTGCCTGGGGCTGAGCCGCCAGAGAAACCCCAAAACGCTACTTCTCCTGACAGACAAGGACGGAGCCAGCCAGGGGCTCATCCCCAGGAGAGAGGGGAAGGGCGGGGCCCCGGGCTGGGATTCTGCTGGGGAACGAGCCTGGACCACCGGGCACAGGCGTGACCTCACCCAGTGAAACCCATGGTGACCCGCGGCCCGCGGGACTGGGGCTGGGCGGAGGGGAGACTGGGATGATGGGAAGGTCTCTATCCAGACCACGGAGGGGGTTACCCAGGTGGGCACATTTGTCAAAAGTTGGCCCAGCTGGTGTCGCTCAGTGGTTGAGCATCAACCTTTGGATCAGGAGGTCAGGGTTCGATTCCCAGTCAGGGCACAGGCCCAGGTTGTGGGCTTGATCCCCAGAGGGGGGCGTGCAGGAGGCAGCTGATCCATGATTCTCCCTCCTCACTGATGTTTCTCTCTCTCCCTCTCCTTTCCTCTCTGAAAGCAATAAAATACATTTTTAAAAACAATTTAAAAATCCATCACACTCGACATGTAAAATGGGCGTGTGTTACGTCGCACTCCTGGCTGGCAGCACGCCGGCTGGAATAAGCATTCGGGGGTGACGCGCTGGATGGGGTGAGAGCCGAGGCTGGAGACCCCGGGAGGCTGCCCGCGGGAAGTGCGTGGGCGCCACCCCGAGGCCCCTCACCTGCTTGTAGAAGCGCTGGTCCCCGGGGGCGCGGGTTTTGAGAAACTCCTCGCTGTTAAACACGCGGTGCTCGTAGTTCAGGTGGCTCTTCACCTCCCTGACACGACACGGGCGCGCGTCAGGAGAAGCGCGAGGGGGTCCGGACCCGGAACGCGCGGTTTGGGGTAAACTACCAGCACAGCTTTCCCTGCAGCCAGGGCGGCCTCAGGCCGCGCCCCCCACAGAAAGGACGATGCAAAATCAATCGTGGTTCACGCAAAAGAAACTGAGTCCAGCCCTGACCGGTGTGGCTCAGTGGATAGAGCATCAGCCTGCGCACTGGGGGGTCCCAGGTTTGATTCCGGTCAAGGACATGTACCTTGGTTGCGGGCACATCCCCAGGGGGAGATGTGGAAGG